TGTGGCATCAGGGACGTGAAGGAGGAGCAGCTGTTGTGTTAGCGCCAGCGTGAAAGAGATCAGGGACAATTCTTCTTCAAATCCAGACATTTTTGTGCCAGTTCAGATAATGAAGCCTGCACTTACTCCGAAGCTGCTGTTTCTTGCACTGGAATATACAGCCTTTTATACTTGATGCTTGTTATGCTAAAGTCATCTCATACTCATAGTCAAAGCATTTTGTACTTAAGTCTTGCTTCTTCTTCATTTTGCCAAAGTTGGAGATTTTAAGACTTATTTCCTTATTATGCTAAATATAGAGATTTTATACTGCTTCTTTATATGCTAGAGTTAGAGATTTTATTTTAGTTATTGTTCATTTATCTTGTGCTGTGTGCGCCTCATTCCTACTGTTCTGTAACTTGTGATGCAACACTGAAACTTCCCCAATGTGGGATTAATAAAGGATCTCTGTGCGACGATCCCAATGAGCAGATTTCAAGATGGTTCTTAAAATATTAAATGGTCTGGTCCCACCCCCACTATCTATTTGTTTTTAAGCAGAGCAGCAGAAACACCAGATCTGCTGCCTCTAATAATCTTCTCGTCCCACTGAGAAAAAGTTCCTTCGGCCAATCAGCTTTCTCAGAGCGCGCCGTTCAGTTCCGGAACACGATACCAGTCCATGTAAGAAAAAGCACCACACTCAAGACTTTTAAACATATACGTTAAAACCTGGTTATTGGACAATCAAGACTGTAGCCGCTCATGATTTTATATGTTTTTAATGACGTGTTTTAAATAGCAATGTTTTAACTAGTTACTTTTATATTGTAATGTTTGCAGTGCACTTTGATGGCATTTTACACCTTGCCGAGGGACTACAGTTGGAAACCAGCTGTTGGCTAATACTGACACATTTACAGAAATTAAGATTAATGTGTATTGTCCCTATTCAAATAAACTAATAAAATAGTTATGTTGAAACTGAGCTGGTCCTTACGACAGATACACAAGTCAGAACTTTTCCTCTTGATGTTTTGGTTCCCTGAAGGTTCAAGTGGCGCTGTGGCAGATTCTGTATTTTAGTCTCGGTATAAAACCATGTGAACGCTGTGAGACTGTGTTGAAAATGAGACAAGATGCAGATCTGTCTGGGATCGTGACGCAGACTGAAGACATGTTTTATAGTCGATGGTAAAGACAAGACACAAACAAGGATTTTTTAAGCGTGCATGCGATTTTTAAACATGGAGGAATCAAAAACAGACCAATCAGCAGCTGCCGCGGCGCGAGTAGCTTCGGTCTTCAGAAAACCAAAACATGGACAGTGGAAAATCACGGGCTTGTGCATATTGGCCTATGATGAGTTCAGCTTTAACCACAGTCACTTCAAATTGTTTTATTCTGTGAACCAACAATAAAACATGTCTCCTGCTCAGACACAAACCCAGACTTTCATATCTTTTGCCATTTTATTGAGCATATTTCTGCGTATCACTTCTCTATATAATGCCTGCTCACTGATTGGTTGGTTACTAAATGCACACAAAGACATACTACATTTTCACTGATGTAGACGTGATGTGATGTAGGGGGGAGCACTGAGTAGAGACACTGCTCCTCCACATGATAAGGATGATAAGCATCTGTTCCTTCTCTCTGGGGAGGGGTTCATGTCTCACAGGAAGGATGCCCCACTGAGGACCCAGGACTCTGGAGGGGCTCTGGAGGGGCTCTGGAGGGGCTCTGGAGGGACTCTGGAGGGGCTCTGGACGGGCTCTGAGGCCTGAGAACGCCCCTGGATTCCATTCATGCATTAGTTCATAGCTGTATTTTTTAATCAATATTCTCACATTATCTGCTTCATGTAAACTTAATGTCACTATACATTCAACAGTCAGTGTTTTCTGAGGAGCCTAAATACTGCAGAGCATTAATAACCTGGATGACCCATGGCCCACTTTACCTCTGGTCGCCTAATGGAGACCCACGCTGTAACCCGAACCCTGACAAAGGCCTTGCTACAATATTTAAATGCTAAATACAGGGAAGGTTGTGACCTGTTGTCATAGTAACAGTAGTCATAAAAGTCCACTCTGTGATGAGGCGTGTGGGGGAGGGGGTTACGAGCTCGTGGACAGCGCACACTTCCTCCAAGTCCCATTAGTGAGAAGAGCTACTATCCTGAATGAGACTGAGTGATAATACTTATACTTCTTAATTACAGAAGACAGTGTACTTTGTCTGTTACGAGCATAATCTATGACATTAGATTAGAATTTAGAATCTTAAACCATTTACTAAAACTGTTGTTTTAACCCTGTTATAATTGTTTTTCTTCATTTTACATGATAAAACCTGGAGGATGAGTATAAGAAGGCCTCTGTGGAGCAAGAAGAAACCGAATCAAAACGCCATTTCTCAAAGAATCATATGATAATGACTATAGGCCTACTTATTGTTTTATCTTCAATTAAAAAAAATAAAAATAAAAACACAGAGGTCCAAATGACCACAACAGTTTTTTTTGATGGTGGGACAGTGAGTGAGGGGGCTTTCACGTTGGAGCAATCATCCTTTTGGAGGCCATCAGCTCCACCAAGAGAGTCATTCAGCAGAAGAACCGGGGCGACCCCTGGACACTCCCAGACCATGAGGAATAATGATTAGGTTGCATCTGCAGTACACTCCATGGGAAAAGTATAAATGTACCAATATATTCATGAAAAATGAAATAAAACAAAGAATAAGGAATGGCATCAGATTTGTCCTGAGCAGTGTCTTTAAGCTCAGTCAGTGTGGCGTTTAGTTTGACATCATTGTCTTCCAACAGCTCGAGCGAATGAGTTCAGTTCAGACTGTGGCCTTTGGAAACATGAAAGAAGTGAAAAACTTGTCCATGAGTGTTTTAAACGGGGCTTAAGCGTGGATTGGTCTCGCCTTGTTTTATGTTTTAAAGAACGTTTGAGGATATCATTGATTTCCTTCTTCACACTCATCAGTTACACTTCGACATGTTCACCTCGTTCTTCATCCAAAATAAAATGAAAATCTTTATATTGTAACTGAAATCAGCCGCGTGTCAAGATAAATCATCCTCCAACTCCTCAGCGAGGTCTCACTCTGTCATCAACAATGCACTCACACACAGAGGCGTGGTTTGGTTGTGTATCGTTCATGTAACACACAAGACACAAACATCAGACACACACACACACACGTCAGACACACACAGACAGTACATGACACACACACGTCAGACACAAACACACAGTACATGACACACACGTCAGACACACACACACAGTACATGACACACACGTCAGACACACACACACACACACACACGTCAGACACACACACACAGTACATGACACACACGTCAGACACACACACACACACACACGTCAGACACACACACACAGTACATGACACACACACGTCAGACACACACACACAGTACATGACACACACACATCAGACACACACACACACGTCAGACACACACATCAGACACACACACACACGTCAGACACACACACACAGTACATGACACACACACACACACACACACACACACACACACACACGTCAGACACACACACACAGTACATGACACACACATCAGACACACACACACACACACGTCAGACACACACAGACAGTACATGACACCACACGTCAGACACACACACACAGTACATGACACACACACATCAGACACACACACACACGTCAGACACACACACACACACACACACACGTCAGACACACACACACAGTACATGACACACACGTCAGACACACACACACAGTACATGACACACACACGTCAGACACACACACACAGTACATGACACACACATCAGACACACACACGCACACACACACACACACACGTCAGACACACACACACAGTACATGACACACACGTCAGACACACACACACAGTACATGACACACACGTCAGACACACACACACAGTACATGACACACACACACAGTACATGACACACACATCAGACACACACACACGTCAGACACACACACACAGTACATGACACACACGTCAGACACACACACACAGTACATGACACACACACGTCAGACACACACACACAGTACATGACACACACATCAGACACACACACACACACGTCAGACACACACACACAGTACATGACACACACATCAGACACACACACACACGTCAGACACACACACACGTCAGACACACACACACAGTACATGACACACACATCAGACACACACACACACACACACACGTCAGACACACACAGACAGTACATGACACACACACGTCAGACACACACACACAGTACATGACACACACACATCAGACACACACACACACGTCAGACACACACACACACACACACGTCAGACACACACACACAGTACATGACACACACGTCAGACACACACACACAGTACATGACACACACACGTCAGACACACACACACAGTACATGACACACACATCAGCACACACACACACACACACACACGTCAGACACACACACACAGTACATGACACACACGTCAGACACACACACACAGTACATGACACACACGTCAGACACACACACACACGTCAGACACACACACACAGTACATGACACACACGTCAGACACACACACACAGTACATGACACACACACGTCAGACACACACACACAGTACATGACACACACGTCAGACACACACACACGTCAGACACACACACACAGTACATGACACACACGTCAGACACACACACACAGTACATGACACACACACGTCAGACACACACACACAGTACATGACACACACATCAGACACACACACACACACACACACGTCAGACACACACACACAGTACATGACACACACGTCAGACACACACACACAGTACATGACACACACGTCAGACACACACACACAGTACATGACACACACATCAGACACACACACACACACACACACACGTCAGACACACACAGGTCAGAGGAGAATACCTGCTTGAACTGCTCCTCGTAGGTCCACTCGTGCTGTGGGTTCTGAGGAGACTCTGGATGCATGGACTGGACCGGGACCAGCCCCGGAGGAACAGCAGGGACCAGCCCCGGGGGGACTCTGCTGATAAGGGGTTGTGTAGAGAAGCGCTCCTCCTCCTCTTCCTCCAGCGGCTCCTCTTCCTCAGAGTCGTCCTGCTCCTCACTGTGGGCCCTGGAGTGTCCGCGCAGCCCCAGGGCCATGCCAGGGGCCATGCCAGGGGCCATGAGGGGGCCCAGGCTGGGGGTGAAGCGCACTGCTGCCTGGTAGTGCCTCAGCAGGGCCTGCTGCCTCTGACTCTGCAGCTCCTTCTCCGCCTGCCGCAGCCGCGCTGCCTGCTGCCGCTGCAGATTCTCCATCACCGCCTCCAGGCGCGTGCCCCCAGACAGCTGCAACACAAGTATACACACAACCAGTTGAAACACAAGTAAACACACAACCAGACAGCTGCAACACAAGTATACACACAACCAGTTGAAACACAAGTAAACACACAACCAGACAGCTGCAACACAAGTATACACACAACCAGTTGAAACACAAGTAAACACACAACCAGACAGCTGCAACACAAGTATACACACAACCAGACAGCTGCAACACAAGTATACACACAACCAGACAGCTGCAGCACAAGTACACACACTTTACAATATGATCTTTTTGTGCCTGTGCCTTTTTCTTTCAGGTACCATTACTTTGGACCCGCTTGTAGCAAATAGAACATTTACAAACGCAGACTCAGTTGGTTGGTTCTGTGAAGCACAAAGACCTGTTGTGTGATTCCAAAACAAACTGAATTGTGTAACTTAATTATGAGTGTGTGTTGCTGTAGTTACTAACAGTGTTAATTAGGCAAGACCTATTCACCCAAAGGTCAAGGGGCCAGATCCGGCTGTAGTCAATTTGAAAATGGATTTTTCTTTGTACTTTTATTTTTGCCCAGTCCTTGTTTAAATTACACATTTTAGTTTCAGGCTTCATTCGAAAGACCCTCATTATTGCCTAAGGACACAATGACAAATATGAATGCGCTAAAGATAAAAGGTAGTAAGGGGAGGGGTGTGGGTCATGAGCTAAAAGACTCAAATTGCAGAAGCACATCCACATCCATTGTCCACTCTTGAAACTCTGTCGCCTAAAGCAGTGTTTTTCAACCAGTGGGCCGCGGTACATTGGCGTGCCTTTGGATGTTGTTTGGTGTGCCTTGGGAAATATTACTATATCACATAATTGGTCAAAATAATGTCAAAAGAAAAAAAAGTGAGATAATTAGAAAGATTTTTTTGGCACTTGTTTAATTTTCTATATATATCTACTGACTTTGCTTTTGTACTAAAAAGCTGCAAAGTCTCATGTTTGTATCAGTTTCAGCTGGTGGTGTGTGAGCGTTATCAACCAAAAAGGTGCGCCTTGACTAAAAAAAGATTGGGAAACACTTGCCTAAAGTGTTGCTTGCCCTTCTTCTTCCACTTCATATGAAATAGCAAAAAGAATTCTAGGTTTTGGACCAGGTTTTACTCAAAAGTCCCTATTTTCGACCCATTTCAAACCCTTCAATAGATGAGAGCGGTTCATGAAATGGCCTTTTGTTTTGCCCAAATTGCTGAAAACTGAGCTTGAAAACAGTCACAGAACATTACTGACAAGCCTCGGGTCAGAGAGCAGACTCCAGTTTGTCAGAGAGCACCATAAACTTGCTCTTATCATTGCGCCAGTTTGTAATACCTCAAGAGCCTTCTGTGTTTACTGATAAAGTTGATTCAGAGAGCGGACTGCAAGACATCCACTGACGGGGACTGAGGCGCTGATGTCCGGAGAAAAGACACGCAGAACACGGGACAGAGGGACGCGCATTTGTTATTTACTTGCGTTAATTTCATATAGACACCAGGGTTGGCCACGCTATAAATACGGTAAAAGTTAATTAAATCGACTAAAAAGATCAACCAATTACAATGAATGAAGTCAGCGGATATGAGGATGTGGAGGATGTAGACCGCGGCGATGTGGAATTGAGTGCGTGTAAACAAGATGAGAATTAGAACCATATATTCACGCGAGACCAGGACCCCTCACCCCAGGACCCCTCACCCCGGGACCCCTCATCCCGGGACCCCCCTCTCCAGTGGGTCTTACCGGTGCGGAGCTGGTCACACTGTTGTCCACCATCCTGTCAGCGCGTGGACTCCTGGTATGGGACAGCCCTGGGCCGAGCGGGGTGAGTCCGGTGTGGGTGTAAAGTCCTCGGATAGTCCTGGTTCAGTTCTGGTCCCAGGATAGTAGGGCTGGATCATGGGTCCCTTGGGTGCGCGGTCCTCCTCCCGGTGCTGCGGTGAGCGCGTGCTGCTGTCTGGAGCGTTTGGCAACAAGTGTCCGCGCGCCACCACGTCACCGCGTCCTCTCTGGTGCGCGTGCGTGCGTGCGTGCGTGTGGAGTGGTGGTCCCCGCGCGAGCTGCACTGCAAAAACTACAGTGGAGCGTCACATGACATGGAACTAGAATACACTGGTAAAAAGGTAAAATACTAATACTACTATGATAATGATAATGATGATGATAATAATAATAATAATAATAATAATACAATTGTAGTAGTAGTAATAATCATAATAATAAGCATCATCATAAAATATAATAATAATAATAGTAATGATGATGATAATAATAAATCAATCCATTGTGGTGGTTTACATAATTCACCCATGGAACTATGGTTACCCTCGGTGTCCTTGGGGGGACGTTATATACCTGCGCACATTTTTTTCCTTGTTGAGAAGTTTTGGTTGTGTAAGAAAAGTTATGTTAACACTGGCTGTTTGAAGGCATTAAAACGACTACATTTGTCACCGCTGTTTGACACACCGCCTCCGCTCCTTACGCACCACACCATAAAGATTATAAAGCACAATTCATACAGTGTAACTTAAAGTGTCAATTAAAAACAGACAATACAATATAAAAAAAACAGTAAAATACAAACCTGATGTTATTGATGTGCTGATACAAATGGCCCTTTAATTCCTATGGGGGTCCTAGGATTGACCCATGCGGTACACCACAAGTTAAGGCAAAATGGTCTCACTCAACAAAGCACTATCTGTTTTCTAGACAGGACCTATTACGATGTACCTAAAACTACTGAATTTCAAAATAACATAAATATAGTGATAAGTGACTTTCAACGACAGTCAGAAACCCAATGATCTGTGCATCTCAAAAAGCTGAAGAAGTATTGGCAGCAGAAAGTTCACAAATAATTACATTTGCTTTTTTAATCATAATTCCTCAATCACAAAACAGTTTGGTTCTGTCACTAGTTTTCACATGCATGCATTTACACTCAACATTTTACTTCTACTGAATTCAACTTCTGTATCACATTCTTTTGAGGTTTTAAATCTCGCCCTATCCTGAATCAGAAACTCTTCTACAGATAGTGAAGAAAATCCAATGCATACGCTCAGATTATATGCGTAAAAGTTACATTGAGAGTGATTTCTGGAGACCTTATATACACATTATCAAGATGCACATGTGGACGCTCTTAAGACACACAGCGCCCTCTGGTGGCCAACACTCGAGCTACACAAGAAGAAGTGACACAATTTTACAGTTGATACACATATGTTGAACTGTTGGTTATCATCACATGTGCTCACAAAGACGTCCGTGTGGGCGAGGAATGAATAATAATAACACCCTTGTGAAACTTGCAGGACGACTGTAGTTCATTACTGCAAGATATTTGGATTTCTTTACTTTTTATTATATGTTGAATCATGACAATAATGAAAATAGCAATGATAACAACAACAATAATAATTTAAATAATTCATTGGTTTTATTTAGGTTATTTTTCTTTGTTACACTCACTTCACATGGCTTTAGTCTTTCACTCCACGGTGGTGATGAACTCCCACTGCAGCCACAGCTGTCTCGGGGCAGATTGACAGAAACGAGGCAACCAGTATGCGTCATCGGCCCGTCGATCACCACCTATCGACATATAATCTACTCACATCTGACGTTCTTATTCTAATGTTATTAAAACTGTGGTTCTTCAAACGGTTTTCCAATAATTCTGGACATGCATAATTTCCATTTTTTGTCATGTGTGGTCTTCACTTCCCTGGACATGTGGAGGACAGGAGGAGGATGTATTGACGTGAGGACTTAGTCTCCCGTCGAGCCTCACCTCTGGAGCGGTCAATGGCCCTGTCACACTGACCGGCCGGTAATGATGACGACCTCATTATGTGTCCACTCCGGCACACACTGGCTCCTGTCTCTTCTCTCCAGTACACACATAAGGTTAAAGTTAATGGAACGGATATATTTGTAAAACTGTGGTGCATCCAAAAACCCTACACACGGACAAACAGCAATCAAACCTGCAAGATCCCGCAGTGACAAATCATAGTAAGTAAGTAAACTTTATGTGTATAGCGCCCTTCACAGACCAGGGTCACAAAGCGCTTAGTAAAAAAAGAAAAAGAAAAATACAACCAGACATAACATAAAATAGACATACACATTTTTAAAGGCCCAGAAAATCATGTAAATAACAGCAAGACAAAATTATGCAAAAGCCTGAACAAGTAAATGTGTTTTCAGTTGACTTTTGAAGCACTCTACAGACTCTAGAACGCAGAGAGAGAGGGAGAACGTTCCAAAGCTTGAGAGCAACAGCCTGGAAGGACCTGTCTCCTCTGGTCCTGAAGCGAGTGCGTGGAACCATCAGGAGGTTCTGATCCACAGACCTGAGAGCCCTGGCTGGGTTGTAAGGCTGGAGGTCACTGATGTAAGAAGGAGCCTGACCGTGCAAAGCTCTGAAGGTTAAAACCAGAATTCTAAAATGTATCCTGTAAGACACTGGCAGCAAATGAAGAGCTTTCAGGACAGGGGTGATGTGCGTCCTCCTGCTTGTGCAATCATATCAAATCAAATCATAAAGAGTTTACAAACTTGTCGATTCACCAACAACAAATCAGAGAATAAGCCCATTTGAACACAGGAAAGGTAGTCATGACAGCCAGTGTGGAGCCTCTGGTCCAGGGTGCGGGATGACCACTGTCCATAAAAGTTAATAAATGTTCTCAATGGGGGCAGCCCACTAGCACTAGTCTAGGCCGTGGGAGACCAGTCCATGTGCAGATGAAAGAATCCAGATTCTGGGGTTCCATCATTACGGCATGAAACAGAAAATGGGACTGTTACGGGGACATGAAGCAGCAGAAGTCATATCGATGACAGACAAAGGAGGAAGAAGAGAGGATAATGCTCACGTTACCATGCTTCATGTGCTTTTATTTTCTATACAACACAGAAAACAGTTTGAGCATTTGTTTTGGAGAGGGCATGTCTCACCGGGAGAAGGACCAACGGCCTGTCTCTCAGCTGGTCTGGGAATGCCATGATTCTTGTGACGACTGCTTGTACTGCTGCCTCCACTGACCGGCAATGGATAAAGTGGAAGAACACGGATGGATCACGCGGCCGCCCTGAAGGTGCTTGTGTAACAGCAGCACGTACAGACACAGAGGGGCATGAGGGGCGGTTGGGGTGGGTCTGTGCTGTAATGACCTCCCACCCCTGACCCCCTGAGCAGAGGAGCAGACGCATGCGGAGATATCGGACATGCTGACATTATCGTGGAGATGACCGCAGGAGCCTGACATATGCGGCTGTACGTCCTTAATGGGGTCAGCTATGTTCAATTAATATCATCAATACTTTTCGCAAAACGCTAAACCTCTGGTGGTTTCTAAAGTGTCAAAAAGCACAGAGCATTCCTTTACTCTGGAATCAGCTCCCCATCCACGTCAGGGTACCAGACACTCTACATTCAAGGCCATGCTTCAAACCTATTTCATTTAGCACATGGTTAGGTAGGTAAGCCTCAGGTAAGACTCAGAAAATACCACTTTCAGTCTAAAACACAGATAGTCAGTCAAGCTGCATAAGTTGAGCACTATCCTCTCCTCTATCCTAATTTATTAGTATGACTTCAACCGTAGTCTGTTCATTGGTATTTACCCGCTCTCATGGTGTGATGATGGGACCCATGAGTCAGGCCTCTTACATCGGCACCTTTGGACTGTTGTCCTGGACCCGGACTCATGGGTTGCACTCTATCCCCAACATCAACCCATGAGTCCAAAAAGTGCAGTTCCTCTTTCTACAGCCTGAGTCCTGGAGCCTAGAATCCTGGATCTATAGCCTGGAGTGGATCCCTCTCTCAACGAGGGCTTTGCCAAGCTTTCTCACTTCCAACTAGGTTTTCAAGTCGTTCCTTGCCGAACATAGGACTGTGGTGATGATCCAGGACAGTAATGGACATATATAAACTTTCATGGACATTGGTCATCTGCTCCGTATGGACCGATGGATCCATGCATTTGTTACCACTGCATTTCCTGTGTTCGAACAGTTTGATTCTCTGATCTGTGCTGGTCCACAACTTTGTAAAGTTCTGCTGTTCTTAGGGCTGTACAAAAATAAATCGTATTGAATTAAGGTGAATTTCCATAACTGGTTCTACAACCACTCATCTCCAAAATACATGTCTTTCACTGGTTATTCACAACTCACCGATTCCTGACTATTTGTTTTTGTGGCTCACGTCTGACGAAGCCTGAAACAGTAGCAGCTTGTGGTGAGTGACTAATGTGACCAGTGTGCACTTGTTTGGGCCTTTTATGTCTCCACAAATGAAGTCAAATGATCCCATGTGGCGAACCACAGTTCACTTCAAAGTGTGAACGCACCATTTGTGGATTTGGTTTCATGGAAAACATGAGGAAAGCTCCAGACTGTAACCACAGTGAAAGTAACCTATACTGAACATTTGATTTTATCATATATGTAAATATGTATTGCTTTGTTAAACTACATCACTGGGACCATGAACAGAGATCATTATAACCCTGAGGACACAGACACGGCTCTGCTGGTTTAAACAAATGGTCTGTCGGTGACATCTGCTGGTAACACAACAACATTACAGTCACTGCATATAATCGTTTCTCCACAAAGGAAAATAAACTCTAGGGTTGCATCCGAATTCAGCAAAAAATACCTCCTTTGCTTTAATTTTCATGCATCTCTTGAAATTCTCTTTGAAGATGCTTTCAGTGGCAGACTGACGTCAGCAACCTCATTATCCATTTTCAAACTTTTATGATGTCATGTTCTATCTCCCCTTTTATTATTCCATCTCTGGGGGGTGGGGGTTGCGATCAGAGCTGCCCCCCAGATGTGGGGCGGGGGGGGGTCCACCCACTTCTCTGTCACTAAAGAACTGGGCTGTGGCTTCAGGCACAGTGAGTGTCTTTCCCAGAGACACAACGACAGCAGACATCAGTGGAAGCAGGTGACATGGGGGATCGAACCCACAACCATTAGGTCCAAAGACCAAAGCTCTACCAACTGATCCTCTGTCGCCCATGATGTCACCCTCTCTGATCTGTTTTCCTGAATCTTCATAAATATGATTTTAGGCAAAAGCTAAGTTGACTTGTACAGTAGATTTCACATATTTTTTTCCAAATAGACAGATATTTTTGCTTTTGTCTGGACAAGGGAACACTATTAGAAAGTGAGCTATGCGGTAATCATACATCAACTTATTTTGCACTCTTTTGGGCAGAAGCTTTACAAAAGGACAGGTTAAAGAGAAACAAAAGTAAAAAGCTAAAACAAACCGTTTTGAACACATGGGTTTTGAGCAGTGATCTGAAGTCCTGTAGTGAGTTCCTGATGTGTTGTTGGAGAGTTCCGTAGAGTGTCAGAATCAGTGCAAGTTGCGTGGACTAAAAAGAGCTCTTCCTGTGCCGTGTGACATCACAGAGAACACCTGCTCCAGCTCCTCTGCTCCAGCTCCCTCTCTTTAGGGCCGTGAGATCCATCCCTGCTCCCCCACTCTTCCCCCTCCATACTCTTCCTCCAGCCTCCACTTCAGCTGACTCCTCTTCACGTGGAGGAACAGCGGCTCTACTCCAAGCTCCTCTCGTGTGTATCTTATTAGGAAGCTCCAAAAACACTGTGTTACTTCAGTGGCAAATGTATTAAAGCTGCTGTACTTGACTTTGAAATCACAGAAAAATCAGTTGTTAACCAAATAAATGTAAAAACTCTTGGGTTGTATTTTTGGCCTCTGTCACTTCTTTAGATCAGCTTTTTTCAGAGCAGAGAAAGTACCAGCCTCTCTACCGCCAGTTAGTAAGTATACGATAAAAGGTTTTCTAATAAGATAAAGACACATGCTGTAGTCTGATTTGTTCACAGAAACAAAGGATGTCTTATCTTAGAAACTGAAACTCAAACATGACTCTTTGGGTTTGGCTTATCTAAGACTGATTCAAAGGATTTTAACTTTGTGTTTCCATATAATAATCACTCGAGTGTTTTTGTGCCTCCAGGCTGCATTTTTCCATCACATTCATCATATTTGGATTTTCCCACAATCCTATGGGCCTATAAAAACTAGCTTACTCGTTGCTCTTTGCGAGAGGGGGCTGTAGACCAAGTGCAGGAGGTGAAGCCACACGGGCAAAATGTTTGTGGCCAAAAATGTGAGACTCGGCCTGGCACAGTCAAAATATCCCGGTACATTCCATTCCAACGCTTTTAGTGATGAATATGTGTCGTTGTTTAAGTTGTTTAAGAAGTGTATGCTGATTTTTTGTTTATTTATTTGATATGGACACAACAGTTGCATTGGACAGACTAGATGCACTGCCTTTAGTGTTATAGCAAGACCATGATCATTTTCAACACGCATTTTCTATTTACAAATATAAAAGTAATGAAATATACAGTTCATTTATCGTGTGAACAACGTTGCTCCAATTTCAGCCACAGTTTCAGACGTCTGACGAAGATGTTTAAGTCTGTTTGTGGTTTAAGGTCAGTGGGAAGAGCCCCCACTGACCGAGGCTCTGGTGTTAGGAACCAGACGGCCCTCACTGACCGAGGCTCGAGGCTCTGGTGTTAGAAACCAGACGGCCCTCACTGACCGAGGCTCGAGGCTCTGGTGTTAGAAACCAGACGGCCCTCACTGACCGAGGCTCGAGGCTCTGGTGTTAGAAACCAGACGGCCCCCACTGACCGAGGCTCTGGTGTTAGGAACCAGACAGACCCCACTGACCGAGGCTCTGGTGTTAGGAACCAGACAGTCCCCACTGACCGAGGCTCTGGTGTTAGGAACCAGACAGTCCCCACTGACCGAGGCTCTGGTGTTAGGAACCAGACAGCCCCCACTGACCGAGGCTCTGGTGTTAGGAACCAGACAGCACCCACTGACCGACGCCTCTGGTGTTAGGAACCAGACAGCCCCCACTGACCGAGGCTCTGGTGTTAGGAACCAGACAGTCCCCACTGACCGAGGCTCTGGTGTTAGGAACCAGACAGCCCCCACTGACCGAGGCTCTGGTGTTAGGAACCAGACAACAGCACCCACTGACCGACGCTCTGGTGTTAGGAACCAGACAGCCCCCACTGACCGAGGCTCTGGTGTTAGGAACCAGACAGCCCCCACTGACCGAGGCTCTGGTGTTAGGAACCAGACAGCCCCCACTGACCGAGGCTCTGGTGTTAGGAACCAGACAGCCCCCACTGACCGAGGCTCTGGTGTTAGGAACCAGACAGCCCCCACTGACCGAGGCTCTGGTGTTAGGAACCAGACAGCCCCCACTGACCGAGGCTCTGGTGTTAGGAACCAGACGGCCCTCACTGACCGAGGCTCTGGTGTTAGGAACCAGAGAGCCCCCACTGACCGAGGCTCTAGTGTTAGGAACCAGACGAGAGAATTAAGTACAAAATCTCTGACTTTAGCATAATAAAGAAGGGTTAAGTACAGTATTCTAGTGCAGATATATAGTTGTATATGTGCTGACGTCAAAGTAAAACCCAGCACAAAATAGCTCAAAATCCACACATGCATGCAGTCGCTGTCGTCATGTCTAACCGTGCTTTACGAATCAGCAAAACTCAGCATTTATTCACATTATTAACTCAGATGCACATTTTTTAGAACAAACGACGGATGACAGAGAATATATAAAGTGTTATAATTATGCAAATGTGCAGCCCTACAGTCCGCTGCTCCGCCACTTCAGAGCGCTTCTCACAATCACACACTAAAACAGAGCTAAAAATAATCAGTGTTTGAAGATGTTCTCATTCTGTCCCAGTCTGAGGCAGCTGCTGTTCTTCTCTGTAGCCTAATTAAAACCAGTCGAGGACAACGCCTTTTTTTCTCACATCTAGAACCCAGAATGAAGCTCAAAAATTATCTTTGGTTCACGTCATGGCTGTCGTGTGTCACCTTGCTGCACCTGTGTTATTAGGATGGTCTTTGTGTACGTCTTCTCACTCTGTGTTTTCCAACCGGTGGTACGTGGACCTCTGGGGGCATGCTGGGGTATTGCAAGGGCACTTGAAATGATCAGCTGTGTGGCATACTACGGATTAAAGCCAATGGAGGAAGGCTGTAGTCTGCAGAGAGGTGTATTGTCTCCCGTTCTTCCCTCTCCTCTCAACACTAAAATCAATCAATCAGTACTTGTAGAGCGCCTTTCCTACACAGAGGCGACACAAAGCGCCTCACAAAACATATCACATCAGGTAAAAATCATGAACATTAAAACTGTTTCTGTGACGGAGCACTCCTAGACTCTTCAGTAAAGTTAAGGAACCTTCTCCACGTAAATTGATAAAGCCTTACAAGGTCCAACAACAGATCTGCTACACAATGCTCAGAGCACCAGCCCCTCCTGATCCTCCTGCAGGTGGGGAGTCCACAGGAAGATGGCTGATCCGTCAACGAAGACACAGGTGTGATCTTTCAGCGGGGGCTTATGGCAAAGTGGGGTAAAGTGCCTTGCCCAGGGACACAACGGCAGCAGACACCAGTGGGAGAACAGGACATGGGTTGTGTATTTAATTGGCTTCGTTAATTCAATCCAACATGACGTGATGTGGTAAAGTTTGCTTCACTTCATCCATTAAATCCACTACTTTTGAGTGGAGTTTGCATGTTCTCCCCGTGTCTGCGTAGGTTTCCTCCGGGTGCTCCAGTTTCCCCGACCTCTAAAAACATGCACAATAGGTCTGAATGTAAATGAGAGAGTGAATGGATGGTGTTGGAGCTGATGGTCCAGTGTGTTCTGGACTTGCTTCACCGTGTGTGGAATGATTGGAACAATATCTGACTCTGAACATTGTAAAGCGCTTTGGGCGACCTTGGTCTGTAAAATGCGTTATATAAATAAACATTACTTACTTACTTTATTTGTAGTGTGGATGATTGAGGAGTTAACCACAGAGGAAGAACGTTTCCATGGCGACAAGCAGGTATAGAGATGCGGTCACTTGATACTCTTTTTGAAAGGTGTATTATATCTTGCCATTAAGGAAAGTCCTATAGTGAGACTTCAGAATGTCTGTTCCAGCACTGGCTCCAGACAGAGGGGACCTATTGTACATGTTTTTAATGGAGCATCCGGAGGAAACCTGCACAGACACGTGTAGGTTGACAGACATGACAGAGGGATATGGTAAAGGTTGCTTCACTTCATCAGTTATATCCACTACTTTCTTATGATTGAGAAGTTAACCACAGAGGAGCAACGTTTCCATGGTGACAAGCAGGAGGAAGTGTAGAGACGCGATCACTTTTTTAACACTATTTTAACACTTGATAATGGACGAAATTATTGGAGAGTCCTGATGAGATTTCAGAATTTCTTTTTGCAGCACTGGCCCCGGAGAGAAGGGACCATTTTTTCTAATGGAGCATCCGGAGGAAACCACACAGACACGGGGAGAACATGCAAATTCCACTCAGAAAAGCCCCGTCTGGAGATGAAGTCGAACCCGGGACTTTTTTTTTTGCTCAGAAACGACGCAACTCAACCACCAGCATGTGACAAACAAAGTGATTCTCCAACTATAGTGACACCTGAAGACCTATATCTTTAACTGTAATAACAACATTTATGAAAGAAAAGTGGTTGATAAGTTACACTCACACACTTTGGGCCTTTTCGCTTTAAAGGAACCCACTTTTTTCCTATAGAAGCCTTTTACGCACGCGAGGAAACGAGAGGAGGAGCTGCGCACACACTCACCCCAAAATCCCTGCACCATTGTCCCGAGTGGGAGTGGGCCGGACCGCGCAGGGCAGCACTTTAAAAACCCCCTCACTGCGACTGGAGGAGCGCAGACCCGCGGAGGAGCTCAGACGCCACAGCACGACCTCACATCGCGCCGCTTATTCTTCCGTGACCGTGCGTAATGACCAGACCTGCTGCGCTCTAGAGCCGAGTTTGGAGTTTGCGTTCTCGGGGCGTCCTGCGGGAGTTTTCCGTGATGTGGATAGTCGTGGCGGTGGCGTTGGTGTGGATGGGCTCTGCGGCCGAGGGGACCTGGAAGAGCGGATTGTACCGAGACCAGAGCGCGGTGGTTACACACGCCGGCTCCGTCTATCACAAGCGGTAGGATGCACGCACTTTTTTCTTTTTTATAGCTTGGCACACCATGAGTAAAGTACTTAGGGTGGTTCTCAGGAGGATTTCACTTTGGTTAAGTCAAAGGAAAATATTGTGGTGAAGCTTATTTCATACTGCAATAATGTTTGGCTTCCATCACGTTACTGAGCAGCGGTGGAAATGACAAACACGTTTCTGTTTCATAAAAAACTATATTTGTGACATTTTTTTGTACTTTTTTATGGTCCATTATAAAACCACTCTATGCACATGCATATATATCAGGTGGCTAACAATTACAATAATAATAGTTAAATAAAGTGGGTGGAACAACGTCTCATCCTGTTGACGTTGGCTTAAATCGTAATGTATGATCAAAATATGCCCCAGATTTGTGTCCCAGATGTTAAATAATGAGATCCCCCTCTTATTTATTTATCTACTTATTACCCTGTCCTAAATGTATATAACTTTGCACTGTATATAAAAGGTTTTATAGATAGATATTGAAGCATTTACAGCGACCTAAGAAACGGATCAGTTACTTATTTTGTATATTTTGTGTGCTCCCTGTGTGCTCTACTGTCCTCTGTGTGTGTTGCAATTGCCCATTCCTTAATTTGGTGTTTAATTTTTGAGTAGATTTGTATAACTTGTATTTGAGTAGCAATAATCTAACCTTGTATTTAATTCTTCATCATTTCACCAAAGTCCCATTTTGTGTAGTTGCATTGTGTTGCCACTTGTGTTCAATTGCTTGGTTTTCTTTCCACCGCTCTGGGAGAGTTTGTGGGGATGCGTGTGTGTTTGTCCTTTCTCTAATTAAACTTGTCCTTAATGGAACCACATGTGATCTTCCGGTTTTAAAGAAGTACTGCAACTCTGCCTGAATCTGTCTTCATCATGCAGATAGACGGAAGCTTCTGCTGCTGAGGCTGCACTGGCTAATGCTGTCATGGGGTTCTGGTTCTGGAAGTGAGATTGTAAATGACATCAATCAATCAAAGAATCAATTAATCATGTATTTCTCTATAGCACAGTTCATACAAAATGCAGCCCAAAGTGGTTCACCAACAGTCAACACATTAAAACACTGTAAAACATACAAAAGGCAATTTAAAAACCATTTCAAATCAACCAAATCAAATGCAAGGGAGCCCAGGAATTTAAAAGAGCTGGACCCTTTTTGCCAAGAAGTACATAGAAGAAAGACTCCAAGCTGTCATGGATGTTAAAGGGGAAATACTTGTGATTAGAGTCAGAAAAGGAGTTTCTTCTGTCGTTATAATTGGAAAATAGAAAACATGTTTATTTGTCAATGAATGGCTTCACAAAATTAAGAAGAGTGAGTGACTTTTGAATACATTTTTCATAATGATTCATCAGTTCATACCAGACAGCATTTCTGTCAGGTATAAACTTTCTGTAACTGATATGAACCATAGGAGAAAGTACATCCAACTAACTCCAACTGCCAAAAAGCTCACAGTTCACAGTGTCATCCAGCCAACTTCAGCTCTACTAATATATGCATGTTTTATCTTGTTGTAAAAATAATCAGATCCTCTGGAATCCTGAAAACCTGTGTTTTTGATTGTGTCACAAAAATTCCAAATATGACGCTGATGCAGCTGTGGTGAGATAGTTCACGCTGGTAAACTGTTATTTATCCATCTATCCATCCATCCCTCTCTATCTATCTATCTCTATCCCATACCATACCATACCAATGTAAGGCCCAGATCTTCTATCTATTTATCTATCTATCTATCTATCCCATACCATACCATACCATACCATACCATACCATACCACACCAACACTGTAACACATTTCTGTAAAATTACAATGAAATTTCAACATTTAAACGAATGTTATTTTGAACAACAATTCAAACATGCAAATTTAAGTATAAATTGGTTAAAAAACCTCCAGTGGCATTTTATTACCACAATTATAATGTGATTACAATAAAAAGTTGTTGTATTTTTGGAATCAGATTCAGATTCAGATTCATTTATTTGCCATTTGCAGTAAAACCACATTGGAAAAACTGTGCAAGACTACCCCGGTGTGCGCCAGACAGAGAAGACGACACACACCAGAGCTCTTGCCACGGCGCCATCTTTCCGGCACCATGCGAATGCTGGGACATTTTTGCAAACGAGGAACCATGAGTGTGAGAGGTCCCTCTTACACATGTCACCTCCTGCTTTAGTTAGAATGATGCTTTTACATTAAACATGTTATAGAAGTAAAGATTTCTACTACTTTTCTTGTATAAACTGAAGATGTTAAAAATAATTGAAAAGTTGTGGTCATTTTAAGTAAAACAAATTAAGCTGTAGTTTATTCAATGAAACTAATTATCATCACAGATTAAAAAAAAGAGAGCTTTAAACAAGGTGCTCCGCTCTGCAAAGAGGACCGTGGGCTGTGAGCTTCCTGTTCTGGAGGTTCTTTATAAATCCAGACTTTTAAACAAAGCTATGAGGATTGTTAATGACTCTTCTGGCCACCCTGGAAAAGCCATGTTCCAGCTTCTTCCCTCTGGCAGAAGATATCGCTCTCTGAGATGCAGGACATCTCGTTACGCTAACAGTTGTTATCCACAGCTGTTATCAGTGTGAACAGAGCACTTTAATGATTTGCACTTGTTTTGAAACTGTTTTAGTCGATCGATTTCACAGTGATATTTGTTTTACTGTTTTATTTGTTTTATTTCTGTCTTTTAATGTTGTTTTATGTCTGTATTTGTCTGTGCACACTGGAGACATTTTGCTAATGTATTCCAATGTGGTGTTTTTACAGTCAAATGGTGTAATATACAACATTAACATTATAATGCTGTTTTTGTTGAATGTGAATTAACAGGAACATACAGTTAAATCCTGAAATCACAAAGTCATAATGTGATTCAGTGAAACAGTCTTTAACCGTTAAAATTAGCAACGGTAATGCCATGTTGAGAAAACGGTAAATTCCTGGAACCATATTTGCCAAATTTTTACCGTTTTTCTACAAGGAAATTCTTTACAGTGAATGTAAGGTCCAGAACAGCCTCTCTATCTATCTATCTATCTATCTATCTCATACCATACCATACCATACCATACCATACCAATGTACGGCCCAGAACAGCCTAAATCCAGACAAAACCGTTCTAAAATCTGTGTTGTTGGCCCCTGGTGAAGTCTGGTGAACTAAAGTGGCCCTCTTCATGCATGACTGTTTCCCCGTATAACATCCTTTGAACACACAAAAGCAAATATATGTGCGTTGCCCACACAGCAGCCAAGCAGCTCTCAACCCAAAGAGTCTGAAAATAAGGTTAGCTCTGAGTAAATTGAGTACTTCCGCCACGTCTGACCAATTCTATAGACTGCAGCCGTTCCAAAGCCAGACCAGAGGCCGACTTAAGTCTTGACAATGATCCGCCCCCGCTGCTTGTTTGCACACAAGACCACTTTTCCCCTCACGTCTCATCCATCTCCGTGAGGGTCCATTGTGCCGGTGACGCTCGCTTCCTCCCTCAGCGCACGGGGGACGGTGGAGACGCAGGACAGGGCAGGGTCAGCACATTGTTGTGGCGAGGTCCGGAGAGTGAGGACGCAGAGGAGAAGCACTCAGACAGATATATAGATACTTTATTGATCCCTCATTGGAGAAATTCAGCTGTCCACTAGCAGCACCAACACATCCCTCCACATCAGCAAAACACATCTATCTTATCTCATTCTAAAATTGGATAACAATAGTCTAAGATCACAGCAGCGGAGATGGTGTAGCCGCTGGGTGGACTTTGTGGAGCGTTTTTCTCCTTGGTACCATTTACAGTTTTCTCAGTTGCTTTGGTGCATTTCTCAACTGTTCTCATTTCATTGCGTTGGTCATCACATACAAAATTGTTGAACTAGTTCTCAAAATCATAACTGTCAAGCTAATTTCATACATTCCTTTATCTTTTTTTTCCTGTAAATATTTCCTAAATTGAACAATTTATCTCAGGTGAATTTCAGCTTCACTCTGAGGTGTGCTTTATTGTTTATTTTTGTCACAGTTCTACCATAATAATATTTCTGTATGTTTGTTCTATGTATATACATGTATGTGTCTGCACTTCTACAGCATTGTGCAACAAAAATACAAAGAGCATATGCAGTACACATACATACATGCAGTACACATACATACATACATAGATACATACATACATACATACATAGATACACACATACATACATACATACATATACATACAGTACATACAGTACATACATACATACACACATACATACATACATACATACATACATACATACACACATACATACACACATACATAGTAGTAATCTTTATTTATATACCGCCTTTTCACTGCACATTGGAGTCTCAAAGCGGTTTACAATTGTTATTTTTTGGGAGTGGGGGTGCCAGTACAGGAGGCACATGCCAGACCTATTGTACATATTTTTAGTGGTAGGGGAAATCGGAGCACCCGGAGGAAACCTACGCAGACACGGGGAGAACATGCAAACTCCACTCAGAAAGGCCCTGGTCCAACCGGGATTTGAACCCAGGACCTTCTTGCTGAGAGGCGACAGTGCTATCCACTCAGCCACCGTGCCGCACATACATAGATACACACACACACACACATACATACAGTACATACATACATACATATATGTCAGTTACGTCTCTAAATACAGTCTTTGTGTAACTTAACTGTAGTTTTTACTGTAAATGGCTGCACAGGTCGTGTATAGTGTGTCGTGCTCAAGTGTCACAGAGATCTGACTTTTTTACTCTGAAAACACAGAGAGTAAACTTTCACAATGAAAACATGACTAAGTCATTTGACTGTGATGTTCATACTCAATGTTGTTAGGACATATTATTTTGACGACATAGACAGTTTCATTAACGTTTGGACTTGCTTTTGAGGAAAACACTTTTCATTTTGAGAAAGTGACGCACTTTTGCAGGTTATCCACGAGGTTCTG